CACACTCCCTCCCCGGCCCCTCCACATTTTCTTCCCCTCCCACACTTTACTGGCAAATCAATTTTACACAGTTATTGATGGGATGAGCTGCAATAACCAAGCTCATTCAAGCAGCTGAATCTTCCTGCAAGTAACAGCAGGCCGTTTCCCCGTAGCCTATGAAGTAGCTTAAAGCAATACAGACCTGGCCTACAAAAAACACATCCCATGACCTAAGACACAGACGCTGCTTGTTAAAGGACAACAGGGCCCCTGTTGTGTGACCCCAGGTCTCATATCAGCCGCTCGGTTGGGGGCATCTTGATGACGTTCCACATTTCCACTCGAGCCCCATCTTTTTCTTGCCGGCTCGGGCTGTACGTTCCCTGAGTTGCTCTCCTCCTCTTCAGGACAATCGCTGTGGCTGCAACCACTGCCAAGAGCAGGGCAGCGCCTGCAACCCCAACTGCTCCCACCACGGAGGAGTTGCTAAGATGGGCCCACACCGGCTGCTGTGGTAGAACAGGGTGTTAGAGCTTCCACGCGGCCAGCGCTGCATTTCACATCCCTCATCCCCATTCCCTCCCTCTGAGCTGCACCGTGCTGCCAGCAGTGCTGGACAGGAGCTTCCCCCCCTTCACTGTCCCCTCCCTGTCACACAAGAGGCCAGGGCCTGCAGAGCAGCCTGGGGACCCTTTCCCTGCTTCCCTCTGGCCCGCACGAGCCACAAGTTCAGCCAATGGCCCCAAACGCGCACCGTTCTGACCGCGGTACCCATGGGAATGTCTAACAGCCATCACTTCATAAAACATTGATCTGCACAATGGTTTCAGTCATTCCTGGCAGTTCCCTGGAGCAGGGTGGCTGTGACGGGGCAAGAGGTCACAGCTGCTGTTGCTGTTGAAGGCTGCTGGCGAAACCTCACACACCTGACCTGGAAAAGCTTTTGAGTGTCTTTGAGTTGACCGAAACAGAACAGTATGTACAAACCACCCTTAAACACCCTCTATACAACGCTCCTTAAAGGGATGTATAGATCTTAATCTGTAAATTAGCACCTAATTTAACCTGCCATTTAAAGCAGATGTAATTGTGCCATTGCTGCCTGAAAGGGGGAATGGAGCCAGAGCCCCTCACCAGCCCCTGAATGGCTGGGGCAGTCCATGGGGCAGGGAGGGCAGGAGCAGAGCAGCTCAGAGCCAGTGCTCTGCACGCTCTGCCTGGTCCTTCTAAGGTCACGTCTTCATCACCACACACGCCTTAAGAAAACTGGGATGGGGTGGTTCTGCTGCTGCAAGTGCTGGAAAAAGGTCAAGGTCAAAGCAGACCTTGCAGGTGCATCTCCTTGTCATGGCAGGGCCTTTGGCACCTTTAGGACACTGTCCATCTCCAACCGCGCTCCTGCCACTTCTTGCTGACTCGGGCTGTAGGTTCCCTCTGATTGGCGCCTCTTCCTTGCAGTGAGAATCATGAATATGAGACCAATACTGAGTAGCAGTAAAGAGCCACAGGCTACAGGGACAGCTACTTCAATTAGTGGGGAGGGGAAGAGAGCACTTGGAGTCCCTTTCTGTAAGAGAAATTAATGAAGAAACAATGAAACTCCCGTGGTTACAGTAACTGCAGTCGAAGAACCCAAAACGGTCAGAATTAGGGGCAAAAAGTTTTCAGAAAAGCAAAGGTACCATGTACCTGAATGGGAATGGACAAGGAAGGAACAAGAACAGGGCTTGAGGGCACCTGCACAGAAAATGCTCTTGTCCCTTCTTTAATCTCTCAGCAAAACATGTTCAAACTTGGCATTAAAAATAGTCCATTTTAAAACCCAACTACAGACAGCAACACTTTGGAATTTTTCTTTCCAGTTCAAAACTAGTGGCACATCAATGACACTCTAAACCAACGTTCAGTGGTGCCTCTGGTGGAAGGCAGAGAACGTATTTAGCTGTTAAACTATCCAGTGCAACACGATTATGCAGAGTTGTGATTGTGCGCTTCCTCGCAGATCGTGGGACAGGAGCTGCAGGAAGTTTCAGGCTTAACACTTAACAAGTCCCAAAGCCAAAGGGAAAACTAGGATATAAACACAAGAGCTGACCTACCTTGCTGGAACTTCATGAAACCCCGGGGCAAAAGATTTTAAATAATGGGAACAGCGATTGGCGAATACAAGATGCACTGAATTCACAGCTCAAAACCACGCAATTACAAAGGCACATATTTAATGTCCCCCCTAGATAAAAACGCTTGAAGACAACTTGCAGCAGGAAGGGGAGGATGTTAAAAAGGGCAGTACATGGATGGGAGATGGAGATGATAAAAGGCCCAAGTACTGAGGAGAGAAACCTACCTGAACACGTATGCTTTAGGTTCTGGTGGGATTAAGGATGTGTGGAACACAACAACAAAGAATGAAATAAAACTGTGGCATTTTTGTCATTAAGAAAGCTTTACAATAGTTCTTATTGCTAACAATAGGATCTGCCACCTTACAGATAAAACCAGAAGAATTCCAGCTAGATTATTTCCAGCATTTGGATGCCTTACAGCCTATGCTAATGCCACAAAGCAATGCAGCACAGGAGGAATAATCCCCCAGTACCTGGAAGCCCTTCTGCCATTTCACATGCCTGAAGCTCAGGAGGATGCTCCGAGTCTGCCAAAACTCAAGGATGTGCTCAGGGTTAGTTCTAGCTTTGCACAGCATGCAGGTTAGTCACAAGAACCAACACCAGCAGCCCGCCCTGCTGCCTGTTGGTGGGAGGAGAAAGAGCAAGAGCGCAGCTATCACCCTTCTGCTTCCACAGCTATGTTCACAGCAGCCCCAGCCAGCAGCCATGCCCTGTCCTCCTCCCTGCACCCCCAGGCCCTGGCCTTTAAAGAGGGAAAAGAGAAGACAGTTCTGCAAGAAGGTAGTGGGGAGGATGAAAATGGAAACAAGGAACCTACAAGAAGTGTCCTGAGACAGGAGACAGAGATGCCTGAAGGAGTCTTTGCATGCAAACTGGAAATGTCAGAGTGACCCCTTGGCACATGCATTACAAAACCCTCAGTAACAGCAACAGCAGCAGACCCCACCATGGCACACAGCCTTGTCCATGCAGTTTGGGTTAGTACATTCCCAGGTTACCAAACAAGCTACCACTCCACGCAACAGCTTCACACAGAAAAAGCAAGTCTTATACACTGGAGACTCACAAGCAACAGCACTGCAAAAGAAAAGTCATTTCCCACTTTGAGTTTCCTTGGTACCAGCTGATTTCCCAGTGGTGCTGACCAGGACACAGCCAGGGCCTGCGGCACGTAGGCAGCCTCAGAACCACCCCAGCCCCCAGGACTCTGCTCTCTACGCAACGTGGTCTAGTGGCAGGGAGTTGAAACTGGATGAGCTTTAAGGTCCTTTCCAACCCAAACCATTCTATGGTTCTATGATTCTAAGCTCACTGCTGCTGCACCTCATAACCTAGTTTGGGAAGACAGGAGCACAAGCAAAGAGAAGTACTTACGTTGATGTCGCAGCGCTCTCCAGTGTAGCTGGCGCTGCACAGACACTCGTATTTGTTCTCAGAGTCCTGACACGTGCCCCCGTTCTGGCAAGGGTTTGGATCACACTTGTTTACATTAATTTGACAACTGGAAAGGAAAAACATACTGGAATTAAATGAGATCTGTCACGTGTGTGTTTGTGCCATAGAACACAAAATCACAGAGTCTAAAATAGCCTCATTCATTTGAAAAGTTCTTGTTGCACTTTTTTCAGGTGCTTTCTCCAGGGTCCAACAACACTGAGTTTCTCCCCGTTCATCCCAATCCTCTTTTTGTCATGCCTGTGTGACTGAAGCCAGTTCAGGTCTGTAGCACAGTTAATGAATCCTCATGAGGCTCAGAAGTACTTGGAAGCAGTTCACACTGCAAAAATTGGTATTGTCAGCAGGAGCGTATCGAGCTGCCTCTTGGAAAAAGAACCGCTCACACGGTGTTGGAGCAGTTGTTTGAATGGCAAAAGGATGTATCAGAGGAGGAAGCACTGAACCTGCTCAGGCAGCCCACGGGTGTAACAACTGGAGCACCAGCCCCTTTTTGCAGGCACCAGGGAACCAGCACTTACTTCCTCCCAGTGAAGCCTGGCTTGCAGGTGCAGTTGGCTCCCCAGCTCTCACTGATGCACTTGCCACCATTCAGGCAGGTGAAGTTCTTCCCACATTGCTCAGGTGGGAACGGCCATCTGGGAAAAAACAAGAGACAACCCTTAAAGCAACCAGGTTTTGGGGCAGGTAAAAGTGTATTTGGGCTGGTGAGGGCCATAGCACAGTCACTGGTATTTCTTAGGAAGGAATTGAACACAAATGGAGAAGGGAATGGTCTCAGAAATCATCCATAATATCAGAATATTACCCTGAGCACGCCCAGAGAACACGCAGGAGCTGTCCCAATACTGGGACTTTCCTCACACAGTTGCTTTTTCTTGCTGATGAAAATATGAAGAGAAGCAGGATACTGTTGGAATACCAACGTGCAGCACAGCAAGGCCACTGAGAATAACCCAAGTCCCAGATAACTGTCTGCACCAGAATGGAGTAAGAACAGGGAATTGGAAGTGGGTAGATCAGATAACTTGAAGCTCAGCCACGTATTAATGTTCAATTTCAACAGGCACAAGTGGATGGAAGTCTAAGTAACATGTTGATTCCTACCTCCTTTACCAATATGTAGTCACCATACGTTGGTGACTGAAATATGCTATTTTTGCCATACTAATACAAATGCTATAAATACAGACTTTGCCAAAAACCCCAGCCCTTCTCCTGACTCCATACTGATTTCCCACCAGATTTTACCTGAGCTCCCTCAGGAAATGGGCACTGCTAAGCACTACAGGCAGTAGGTGATGGGTAAATAACCTTTTTTTCTCCCAGTGCACATTTGATAAGGAGCAGGATACTCAAATACACATCGTTTTTAGCCAGTACACAGAAACAGTGCCCCTCGTCTTAGGTCCAATGCCATAAAATACAACCAAGCCCTTCACTGAAGGAATGCTGCTAGTCAGTGTAGGAGTGCAGGTGTATTTTTATCTAGTATTATAGGAAAATATTTGCCAGGGTCAGGCTTGTTTCCACAGAGGGAGTAGCAATGGGCATTTCCATAAATAACCAGTCAGGGATTCCTCCTACAGGTCGTCTCCAGAAACCCAGCATCAAAGATTTATCAAAACCAGCATTCTCAGTAGAGGTTAGACTGTCCCCTACTGCCCTCTGCCCAGAAACCCATCCCACTGGTACCATTCCTGTCGCTCCAGGACATGCAGTGCACCTGGAATTTATAACACAGGACTTGCACTTTAAACAGCTCTGAAATGCAGCATAGAGCTAATCCACAGCAAAAGAAAGGATCCTTATCCTGTATGAGACTGAACACCCATCAGTGAGGATTTGGACCTGGACAGCACCTTCCAATTCAGGGCAGAATTCAGTTGCTTCACCCACCAGATACTTACAATGAGAAATTTTCCCAAAGTGTCCCAAAGCAAAAGTCCAATTTATGTGCTGCATCAAACCAACCAAGGCACTTACTCGCAGCGAGGTCCCGAATAGTGAGGAGGGCACTTGCAGGAGTAGCCATAAACCCCGTCGATGCAGGTAGCCCCATTCAGGCACTGGTGCCGCACGCAGTCATCCACGTTGATGTCACACCTCTTCCCAATGAACCCCCGGAAGCACTGACATTGGAAATCTGCTACTGCATCGACACAGTCCCCGTGCACACAGGGGCTGGACTGGCAGTCATCAATGTCAGCCTCACAGAGCAGCCCCCCCCAGCCAGCGCTGCAGGCGCAGCTGAAGGAATTGAACAAGTCCTCGCAGGTACCAGCATTGAGGCAAGGGCTGGAAGCACAAACATCAGCCCCGGTGCAGCCCAGCTGGATGGTCCTTCTGCTGGACTGCTGGAACTGCTCTGCCTGAGGGTACGAGAGATGGGCAGTGAAGGGCAGGTAGATCCCCCCGATCCTCACTTGTCCGAGGCAGCCAGTGAAGTTTTCAGCTACAACAACGAGCACGTTGTTCTTCAGGAAGTCCAAGTTCCCAGCAGTTCCCTGCAAAGTCATATTAACAGAGTCATCCAAATGAACGAGCCATCTGGAAGAAAGGGCAGATGGCTCTTCCATGGACACAGAGATGGTGTGCCAGGCACCGTCCGTGACGGGCTTCTGACTCAGGAAGCTGACACCTTCGATGCTATTCCCACTCCTGATGTCAACAAGCAGGGAGGAGTTCTTAATGGCTATGTGGAGGGAATCCACTTCTTCCACAGCCCGAAGCAAAACAGCATCTTCATCCCTGGTTCTGAAGTCCATGTGGAGGCTGCTCAGAGTTCTAGTCACTGATGCATTGGTGGTAAATTCAATAGGAGCGTAACTATCAAATGTTGCATTTGACAGACCTAGAAATAAAACGGGTGGGGTAGAGCATAAGGGATTTGAAAGACAATTGGTGTCACGTTTGAGACAGACCAATGGCAAACTCCTGGCACCCTCTCTCCTTAAGAACCATGTAAGCTTAGTGTGAGCAGGATTACAGCCCTAGCTGCTGGCATCCTTAAAGCCCTTCCTGTTTACAACTGCACCTCCAATAATAATAACCAGCTCTTGTGTAGCAATTTTTACTCAGCATTCTCACACCACTGCACAGAAATACTATTCCCCTTTTACTGCTAAAAAACCCACAGCATAAGTCAGGAAAGTGACACATCCAACGCTCCTGAGGTGGGATGGCAGAGCTGGGAACACCCCAACACCCAACTTCCAGGACACTTCCAAGCCACTAGACATCCCTCCCTCCACATCAGGGCATCATTAGCCAACCAGTCTGCTTATTCTCTAGGGTTCTGTCTTAGGAGAGAACTGAGACACATTTGCAACACTGAACTGGTCCTATGTGGTGAGATAACCCAAGATTCTGGAAATGGCTGAACCTTACAGAGTGCAGGTCCTTGCACTGCAATGATAATAAGGTAAGCAATCATTCCACAAAAGTGGACAGGTTCCTCCCTGATCAAATCAAAGTAATAGAAGAAAACACCTTTGAGAACCATCTTTGCTCTATCACAACCTGCTGGTAAATCCATAAAGTGCATGCTGCCTGCAAGAGCATGTACCCAGGCACCAGTCCATTCCCCTTCTGTGGCATGGGTTCGTAGTTGTTTCAACAGTACAAACTAGGAACACTGGTTATTGACAGTGAACACTGGGGTTTTACCATCAGATCAGCAGGAGAACAGTACTCACACACATATCCTGCTGGAACATCTATACAGGTGGTAGCTTCAGGACACGGGTCACTTTCACACCAGACTCTCTCTTCACAAAATTTCCCAGTGAAATTTGCTGGGCAGCTGCAGTGGAAGTCATTCCACGTGACAGTGCACGTGCCCCCATTCTGACATGGTTCAGACTGAAAAACAAAACAGTGGAATTTAGAGGTAGGGTAATTCCTCTTTAGATCTAAGAGAATTTGGTAGAAGGAAACGTGACAGCAAAGATTAGTACAAGCAGAGCTTGAATCAAGACAGAAGGATAATTAAAATAGTGACTCAATAGCAGTGAAGAAAGCACAAGGGTCTCTCCACAAGAAATTCCTGAGACCCTTCCTCTCCCTGTGTGCACTGGTGACGATCAGACACTCCCCAGGCAGAGTTCCATCAACCTGGAAAAGATCAAAGCACTAAAGCAAAGGTGAGAAACAGAACAAACAAGCTGCAATGCTTCTGGAAAGTTCTGTTACTAGGACGACAAGCCTAATACCAAAGGCATGAGAATATGTTATAGTACCAGGAGCAAAAAGGGCAAAATTAGGGAGTATGGCCACCCCACCTTCATGTGTAGTACAAAGGAGAGGCAGCTGCTCATCTAAGAGCACTATGGAGACAGTTCCTTTTACCATCCTTGCTGAAGCAGCAAATTCCTGGGGAAAGAGGTGGTTGTGCAATTGAAACAGGAGAAAGGGAGGCGCTGGAAAGGTTACTGCTGGGAGGCTGGAGACTGGAACAAGTGTGTGGGCTCAGCAAAACGGAGAGAGGCGCCACAAGAGTGGGACTGCCCAAGTTCTTCAAACTACAAAAACTACAGGGGAGCTAGAGAAAACTTGCTGCTAAAATCGTATGTAAGTTATTGAGTGACAAAGGAGCATATGGGACCATGTGTCCTTCAATAATTAAAAAAAAAAACAAACATTTTCCTGGTATCAGCAACAAACTTTCCTGTAATCACAGAACTATAATAAACACCTGCACACATGTAGAGCCAAATGAGAGACATCATACCTTGCAGGTGTTATCAGAGATGCAACCATTCACCAGATTACCACTTTGAGTCCTATTGAGTTCCTGGGGCAAACCGTAGTTCTCAACTTGAAGAAGCTGTATCTGGTGGCTGTTCAGCTGGAGGTCTTGCAAACAGCCTTTAAAATAACCTCCCCACATATCTGCACTGTCTGGGTTAGGATGCCCACCTATATACACTTCATAACCACCTAGAAGTGGTCTTGCTATGAGCTGTCCCAACTCCACATACGTGTCCGATTGGTGAGCACCAACAATTCCTCCTTGGAAAGACAGAGCTACCAAATGTCTTCTCCCATCAACCAGATCTTCTGGAAAAGTCACAGTATCTGCAGACAACACCTGTATCTGCAGCCTGCCATTCCTCAAGTACATGGTGAGGCAGGAGGCAGTTTCATTGCTGATCTGCAATAGCAAACCATGAGGTTTCCGAGTCCGAATGAAAAAGGAGATGTTGAAGTTTGCACCAAGGTTGTCAGAGAGGGTGAAAGAGGCAAAGCTGGTGGAATTTTCTAGGCCAAATGTTGCTGCTGGGCGCTCTGGAAGAGAGAAGAAATGCACATCAGTTCAGTAACAACAGGAATGCAGCTGGCACAGGGATATTCTAAGCAGCAACTCCTTATGAATGGGGCAAGATGTCTCTTCCCAACACTTTCAACATGGATCAGGGTAATTGTACTCTCTCCCCACACAGGTTTGTGAAATTAAGTAGGTGAATGTGTCCTTTGCTTTCTCTGGAGGGCATACATTCAAGCACCCAAGTCACAAAGAGGGAAATACAGCTCTAGCAGAGCCCTTGCCATGTAGGAAATTGACTCAAGGACTTTCAAGCTACAAAGTTGCTTTCCAAATTTGTAAATTTGGTAACAGCAGAAGACCTTGTCCTTGCCATGCTTTGGGCTCAGGGGTGAAACAAAAAACTGGAACAGTATTACTATAAACCTTGCAGGAACAGAAGAAAAATACAAATAAATGTGATTTTAACTCAAAACTGTCAAAGAGCTTCCTTTAACACTGTGTTTTATCTACAAAGCAATACATTCCTCTTCACCCTCAACTCAGAAGCTCAAGATCAACTTTCCACAGTAAAACAACTTCCCAACCCTCCTGCATTCGCACAGGTCTGATACAAAGATAAAGTCAGAGCCTCTGGCTCAACAAGGAATAACACCTGCACCACAAAACTGACAATCATTCCTGCAGGAGCAAGTGACAGGAAAGGGATCAATGAGAATTTTATTCACAGAGAGGTTTGCTTTAGTTTTCTCACTGGTCAAGTAGAAAATACTGCTTCCAGAGCTAGCATCGCTGCTTATCTGGTATCTTTAATGCTTATCTAGTATCTTTAAAGCATGAGTGACAGAGGAGCTGGCAGATGTAAATCACGTGGCACTTACCATATGAGCAAGCTGGGCCTCCATAAGGCCTGGAACAGTCACACCTGAAGGTTGACCAAAGATCCACACACAGCCCTCCATGGAAGCAGGGCTGGGAGAGGCACCACTCGGTCCGGTCACAGCCCCGCTTCACCGGGGAGGACTCGCCTGCAGGCAGATCCGCCGGGAGCACAGCTTCAGTGTCTACCTGCAAGTCTTCCATGCAGCCAACAAAGCCTTGCTGGCTATGTGTGTTGTTGGCCATTGGATCCTCAGCACCTCCAACATACATGTTCAGGAAGGTATGTGGGACCAAAGCAGTGCCATGAGGGACAGGAGAGCTCTTCAGGCAGACTCCTGCATCGCAAGAGTCATGCCAGAGCTTTAGTTCCATAGTGGTGTGCAGAACAACTTCAACTTTATGCCACTGGCCATCATCAACTCTCAGCCTCTCCAGGAGCAGCAGGTACCCAATATCCTCCTTCTTCAGTCCTGCATGCAGAATGCCATCATAGAGCTCCAGGAACAAGTATTCAGCTTCATGGCCTCGGTAAAATAGGATAGCGCTGGGCAAGGTGGTTCGGAAGCGGAGGGACACGCTGGCAAGCTGATCTCCTGCTACGTCCCTCCTGCTCTGATTGTTCACGGGCAGCTCAATGAGGAGATACCCTCTGGAAGCAAAGGAAAACGTTGTTGGTGTTGAGCATGTGGCATCATAGAAACCAGGCTGGCACTGGCACAGGTGGCCGTGACTCTCAGCTTGGTAGGTTGGGATGCACAAGGCCTCATTTTGGCAGTCATGCGTCTGGCACCCAGTGAGCTTGACAGAGCAGTTCTTCCCTCCCCATATAATGCCATCCTGGCTAGGGGCACAGTGGCAGGTATAGTCAGCAATGCCATCCTCACAGACAGCTCCATTCTTGCAGGGACCCTCCTCACACTCATTGATGTTAACAGCACATTCCACACCTGCGAAAGAGATTTAGAAATGGGATCTCACTGCAGGGGATTGTGACTCCCTTTCCCAGACCAAGCCTGGCAGGCACAGACTGCTCTCCAAGCCATTCTCTTCAGGAAACCACCAGAAACCAAGAGCTCCCAAGAAGAAGCCCCACGCTCACTACAGAGTAGCCTACCACTGACATAAGAGCAAAATAATCCCATACTTCTGTGCTGTCCTCCAGATGCTGCAAAGAAGGGGCTATTTAGAGAGCTTCAGCTGGTCAGCTCCCATCATCCAACAGACTGTCCTCTCCCAGACAATCTCTAACACTGCAGGTAATCAACACGCGGAGGACATTAAAGAAATGTAACAGCACAGAGAAGGATTTTATGCTTCTTTCATAATAGATTTGCTACACTGAAACTCAAATTAAGTCTATAGAACTGACCAGAGCATGTTCCAGGCACCATTGTTGCAGACAGCATTAAAATGGGAAGTTATTGGAATGCCTCAGTTAAGAAAATTCAAATTCAGAGATGACCCTGAGCTGTAAAACACTCACAAAACTCGATTCACTACCAAATAACAAACAAAACATACTCCACAGGCATTTTGCTGTACTTGCACTAAGCTGATTTCAGTTCTGTCCAGAAGTGAACTGGGTAAAAAGTACCGCACTGCAGTCCGTCTGTCTCCTGGAGGCACGTGTACCCCAACAGTGCTCAAGTAAATTACAAGATATTACACTCAAATCTGGCTAATGAAATTCTGCTGTCATTTTCCTGAGCATCTCCAGACTGACAGAGGAGCCCTTCTGAACCAGTTCACTTTATCTAGCCCATAACACTGGTTTTCACTAATCTTCAGAGACAGTCACACAGATAAACCAAGCATGGATTATCCCAATCTAATAGCATTACCCGCTCGAATCTAGCCAGCGAGCACAATGAGGACAGCAGAAAGAAAAAGAAGGAATTCGCACACAAAGGAGGGGAATCAAAACACAAAAGACATTTGGAAAGAAAAGCCACTAGACAGAATGTGCTTGTCAAAGAGATTAGAGAGTTGCCTGAGGGGAAGAGATGAGGGGAGATGGGGCATTAGGAGCACTGGAGCTGGACTTGATGTGTGATAAAAAAGGGAACTTAGCAAAGAGACAGGCTTCTGGGATCTTGATAGTTTGTCCCCCTCATGCTCCAGCAATGCCTCACAGTCTTGCACAGACCTGTAGTACCCTGCTCCCTAACCAAGCTGCTTTACTCCTTTCAGCCTCAGTGTTTAGTGCTGTTACCAGTGTTATCTCTGCACACTGGTGAAGCTTCCAGCTCCAAAATGTTGGTGTGTGTCAGCAGAGGGACGGAACACATACGGAGCTCTGAAAAGCACTAACAGAGAAATGGAAGGCTCTGGTAATTCTGCACTTTCCAGCTACGCCAGAGCTGTTCTCTAGGCAACATTACCTCAGATTCCTCTAGGACACAGCTCTACTGACTGACCTAAACTGCTTTAGAAGAAAACTGCTGGGTAGTGCCTGTGGAAAAGCACTGAATTTGGTTAATAACATCTGCCTTGAACAAGAGCTCAACTGATGGACAGATTCAGAGTTGCTAATACTACCTCAGCACAGGCCTTCTTCTCCAGCTTTTAATGCTGGGCTTGCCCAGCACACAGAACCTGGGGAGTGATCTTACCTGTAAAGGAAGCAGCAAGGATAGAATTGAGATTTCAGCACAAAGCTATCGTCAGACTTGAAGGAAATTAATTGGAATAAATAGAATGTAATGGACATCTCTCAGCTTGGAGAATCCCAGTCTGGGAGAAGATGGGAAGACTTCAATCAGAATTCAGAAAAATCGGTTAAGCAGAAGTACATGGCATTTTCTGAGTTATCAGTGGGCTCTCAAAAGTGTAAGAAGCAAATCTGCAGTCAGATTTAAGGGAGGCAGCTGCTGAATGGTGTCAGAAAGACAGGTCTGGTACAGTCCCAAATCCTTGAGATGCTGCTCATTTCAGACAGAACTGTTGATATTTACAGGGCAATGAGGAGGATAAGATAGCATCAGTTTGGATAACAAAAGGAGGGATGCTTTCAATCTCTGCATTTCTGAGAAGGCTGGGAGGCAGGGTGGGGAGCCCCATTTTCCACATCACATTCCTGACCTGACCACATCTCCCTTTTCCTCCAGCCAGTGTGCT